GTGGAAGTCTGACATTCCTGGGAAATGGCTGAACTTAAGACATCTGCTCCCTGAAAAGACACCAGCCAGTACTGGATTCCAGCCTCAGATCACACCCGCAGTGGCTTCCCTGAGCAAACTGTCTGGAGCTCTTACTTTGGTGAGGAGACCTGGGAACTCCCCAGAGAGGAAAGACCTGGCCTGAAGTTCCCCAACGCCTTTCCTCCTCTGGCAGCTGCCTCCAGACTGCAGGAGAGACAGGGGTGCTACCTGCTGGGCTCCCGGAGAGGCTGCAGCGCATCCCGCACACTCTCGCACATTATTTATGCTCACAGCCCGCACTGATGACATATGTAAGTTGACAGCGAACATCCTATCAACTTGCTGGAGTGTATCTTGATTGTTAAAACACACTCTTAAAGGTGTACGATCATTTATCAAATTAAAATAGCGGAGCCTTGCCTGTCCCTTTTCTGCCTTCCCTGACCACTCCCCTGTAGCCTCTCTCCTTCTCTGGCCTCCTGGGCATCCTACCCTTGTACCCAGGCCCTGCTCCTCGAGTGGGGTGGAGGGAGGGGAACCCTGCCCCTGCTTCCAGGGACCCAGACTCAGCACCCCCTCCCTATCCTACCCCAGGCCAGGGCAAGCCCACTAATCGCCAAGAAGTGACAAACGCCAGAAGCCCCACCAATTAAATCTAAACTCAAGCAAAGCTCAGTGGCCAGTAAATTATTATTTTTATTAGCTTGAACCAAGTTCCCGTAAGAGAGAAAGTCAACTTGCTCCCATGAATGGCTCTTGTATAATTTATTTAACTCTGTGCTCTTTGCCAAAGCCTGGAATATTTTTAGCTCGTTCTGTTGTTGGATTTGGCTTTTTTATGTGTGTTTCTGAGGGGTATTTTTAGCTCCCTCCATGTTATTCTAACAGCCTCCTGTGCGTTTTGTCCTGTCTGTGCGGGCTGTTGAACCCAGTCTCACAGCAGACGAGGGAGATTTCTAAGAATAAACGGGAGCATTTGGGGGTGATGAGGGATCCGCACAAGGCCACTCCCTGCCTCGCTGGCTAATTTGCCTTCGTGCTCACGTGACCTGGATATTCCTATAGGAATATCCCTGTAGGAATAATCAGACATGGGGGCAGTACAAGCCCCACTGAGAAAAAACCCACATTCCAAAAATGGCTTCGTTGGGGTGGGTGAGGCGGCCGCAGCCTGGCCGGTCCACGCAGCTGCCGGATTCTGGGCTCCACAGGGCGGCCGTGGCTTTGATGTTTGCTTCTGCCACTTACAGAGCAGGATGGGTAGAGTCTTCGGAAAGTAACTCTTTTCACACCTACTTAATGTTGGTAACGGTTGCCGAAACACTCCATCGTGTCATTGAGTTAATGAGGTATTTACGAAATTGTAATTTTTTTCTTATACGAAAAAATATCACATGAGAAGGGAAGGGGATCCTTTGATGGGGTCTTTTCACATCAGGAAATTATCCTCCCCCCCCACACACACTGCATTTTTCTTTTTCTTTTTGAGATTAAGGATCAGAAGCACTTTTAGCAGGAGAGAAGTTTGTGATTCTCCCACCAGAAGGAACCTGCCGCCCTGTATACTCTCAACAACAACCACAGGCCCAGGGCACCTGGCTTCCAGGTTGGGCATTTACACGCCAAAGAAGCCAAGAGAAGGGGCGGAGAGGAGAACCCACCCGCAGTCACATTGTCGAAACCTCCGCCTTCCTTGGGTGGAGACCCAGTGATTCTCCTTTGGCCCCAAGGGCGACACAGAAAAGGATGAAGGGCAGTAGCTGTAGCTGACCGGCTGCAAGAGGGGGCAGGGACCCGGCTTCTCCCGGCAGGGCTGCCTCCTACTAGACGCGCTCCCTCCAAGGAGAGGCGCGACCCCCAATCGCTCCAGGCAGTAGCACTGATGAAAAATCTTGGGCTGGTGTGTTGTTGATTTTCATTTTTTCCCCCCTAGATTTCACAGCTTTGCCTCCGGACCATCTGTATTAGAGACAAAATCTAACACTGCTCTAAAAATAATGATTCCAAACATTCTAATTGCACCTTTTGGTGACAAGGTTACCGGAACAGCACTTTACCATAAAACCCTACAGCTCGATGATAAAGCTATCCGCACTTTCATTTTGAGAAAAACAATGGGAGAAGCCCTGGAGCCCAACATCCCATCGGGGTCCTTCAAGCTGACATTATGAAAGCGCTGGGTGGGGGCAGCACTGGAGGAGCGCAAGGAGGGAGACCCTTGGCCCAGGCTGGGGGGCTGAGCCAAGACAAGGAATCCTCAGAAGCCAGGGACTCGATCTCGGTAGTTGGATCCTACTCCCGTGTTAGAGCTGAACAAATAGGAAGAAGCTCGCTGCAATTTTCCTTTCAGCAGGGTAGTCAGTGGAGGGAGGGGTAGGCTGGGCTGCTGCAGCCTGGCTTATGGACCTGAGGCCATCACGGAAATGGGAAGAAAGTCGGCCAAACTGGCCATTTTGAAATCCGCACACGAGATGCAAAAAAAAAAAAATTTTTAATTATACTTTTTCCCTTTTAACCTCGATCATATATAGATAGAGACCAAAGCAAAGTAGTCTGAGGTATAATTCTTTTTTTTTTTAATTGATGTAGCTAAATTTTAAAACCAATACAAGATCCTGGCTTTCAGCAATTTCAAAAGCCTTTCAGCGGCAGATGTTTCTAGCTGGACGCCCTCTAGGCCAGCCTTCCAGTCACAAATGGGTTGAACATCTCCAGGCACAATAGGTCTCTCTGGTCCCCCGGGGAGGTGGAAGCAGCCTCCAGGAGCAGTGGACATGTGGGCCCCCAGTTGCCCCCTGAGGGTGCCCTGGGGACCTCCAGTGCGCTCTAGAGCACCCTGCAAATGGGGAAGGTGAGTAGGGTCTGGATCAAGGACACAAACCAGGCCAGCGCCCACCTGATTTCTCCAGTCCCTCCATGGCCTACGATCCAAGAACCACGTGGTCAAACTTGGAATGAGCAAGACAATGGTTCGGGTCACCCAGACCATGTTCCCACCTGGCCTGGTGGTGCCTGCATCTGGATATAAGAGCAGAAAGCAGAAATGGCGGCTGACCAGGATCTGACGAGGGCTGTGGGCTGTTGAATAGGGACGAGGGAGGCAGCAGTGACTTAAACTGATGGGGAATCCAGCCTGGCAATGCCTCCCCCGCCCCCCACTGCCCCCAGGAGGGCATGGTCCCAGCCTGTCTGTGCACTACTGGGACAGCCTTGGTGTCAGGGGCTCTTCTGAACCCTCATTTCTGTTACCCTCCAGGCTAGTGGGCCTGGCATATGGCATGGGGGGGGGGGGGGTGATGCATCCAAAAAAGACTAGGGACGCTATGGCACTGTCCCTACAGCTACCACAAGCTCCCAACCACAGCCCCTCAGTGTGAGCTGAGTTGGGCAGGCAGCATCTCCAATGCAGAAGCAGGAGAGACAACCACAGGGACAGTAAGGACAGATATTTAAAATCACCGATTGCCCAGGCAAGTGCTTTTGCTCTTTTGAGTTATAAATCTATAAGAGGAAAAAAGCAAAGAAGAGGGAAGAGCGAGGAAGAGGAAAAAAGCACCCTTGCATTAGGCTTGCACTGGAACAGGAAACATGGGCGAAGCGCTGATTCCAGGAGAGGGCTGAGTCCAGCCCCTCCACTCCCAGCTTGCTCTAACTTTTTGAATCTCATGTTGTAAATGCTAAAAGCCCATTAGTAATTAAGCAATTTCTCATTATTTTTTTTCTTTTTAGGAAATTTATGTTTTTCTTTCTGACTGCCCTCCCTTCTGACATTTTCCCTTCTAGCCTGACTCTGCCATCCGTTTTAATCCACACACTAATTGTAATCCCATTAAAGCAGATATAATTTTATTAGTATTCACAGTTCATCAAGCTAGCAATAATAACTGTTACTGCCAAATTAACAACAACAACAAAAAAAAGAGGCAAACATTTCTAATGTTTAGAACAAACTGTAAACAAAAGCAAGCCAACCTTCCAGGGTGACCAGCGGGTCCCCAAACGCGCAGCCACTCCGGCTTCCTGCAAGCTCAGCTGGCGCTGGCCAGTGACCTCCAGGGTCTCGGCGAGGTAGAGACCCCTTTGCCACCCTCTGCCTGGCCCTGCTTCTCCTCTGACCTGGCTCGACAGTAGTATCGAAGCCACCCCAGAGGGGGACCGTTCTGGAGATTTGGGTCAGCTCTGCCAAGGAACAGCTCTCTCCCGGGAGAGGACTGGAGTGCAGGGAGGCCCCAGCTCTCTTCTCTTGGAGCAAATCTGCGAACTCGCCTGCATCGAAATCCGGCGGCGGCCCCCGCGCCGCCCCCAGCCGAGCCGGCGCCGGCGCTGCCCTCCCCCAGAGCGCAGGCCGAGAGGCTGGGCCACGATCTGGCCACGCTTTGTCCGGCTTTAGCAGGATACCAGAGGCACTTGTTAAAGCAAATGCATCCCCTGCAAACCCATTCTCGCCCTGACACTTCAAGGCTTTATATAGAAACAGGATTTGCTCGTCTTACACCAGCAGTCCCTATTAACGCTCACCCCGCGCACACACCGCCCTAATCCGAGAGGCCGCGGCACTCCCCTCCCCAAGTCACAACAGCCGTTTTTGTTCCCGCAGAAAAGTGGCCTCGTTGTCCCAGCCCCGGAATGTCTTAAGGATGTGAATGCAAAATGCAGAAATGAGGTTTCCGCGGAATTTAGTTCTTCGGCAGGAAGGGGTGGGGGAGGGTGCAGGAGGGGAAAGGCTTTATTTTTAGCCGGGTCCGGGGCTGCCCCTCCGAGACCCTGGGGGACCCCGGGGAAGGGCGCTCTAAACCGCGATGATCCGGCTCGGGGGGGCCCCGCAGGACGCGCGGGCCGCCACCGGTGCCGGAGCAGGGAAATGAAACCGAAGGCTTCTTCGCAAACGCTCCAAGAGAGGAGGGGCAGGCTCCCATCCGACCCTCGACCGTGCCCACCTCGCGGCAGGGTCTCCTCTCCCGCGCCCGCCCGGCTGGCACTGACCTGTGTGCGAAGCCATGGGCAGCGGCGACGGGAAGTACTTTCCGGGCTGGAAGTGAGCGGGGGGCTGCGCGGCGGGCCCGGGCGGGGCGAGGCGCGCAGCGGCGGCGGCGCTGCGGTGGCCCAGGCTTCCGCGCTCCGACAGCAGATGAGGCGGCGGTGCGAAGTCGCGGCCATCCATGCCGGGCCCCGGCCCCGGCCAGCCGCCGCCTCCTAGGAGCAGCACGGCCGGGGCCCGGGGGCGGCTCGGCGCGCGGGCGGCGCGCAGGCGGCGAGGAGGAGGCGGTGTCTGGGGTCACCCGCGGCGGCGGCGGCGGCGGGGCCGGTCAGCACGCGGGCGGACTGGTCTCCTCGGTGGGCGGCCGCGTGCCGAGCCGGCGGCCACCGTGCGGATCCATAGTCTGCGGAGACAAGCAGAGGAGACTAGGTGACTTGGGGGTTCGGCTCGCCCGGGGGTCCCCGCCCCCGACCGTCCGCCTGCCACCCTTCCCACCTCTCCGGCCCGAGTCCCGCCAGGACGGGCGGCCGGGCCCCGAGCGCCCCGCGCGTCTCCCCGCTGCACGCGCGCGCGTGGGCCACCCGATCCCCCGGCGCACACGCACCGTCCCGGCCACGCTCGGTCCGGAGGAGCCTGAGGGAACCCGGCCGTACCGCTCGCCGCTTCCCCTTCGCGGGTCCCTGCGGCGAGGGCGCCGCGGCGAAAGGCTGCTGGCTCCGTTGGGTGATAAAAACCCAAATCTGCGAAGCCATCACGCATACACACACACACACACACACACACACACACACACACACACGCACACCCTCTCCCCTCCCCCGCTGCCCAAAGGTGTCTCTGAGGAAAGGCCTGGGGTCCACGCTAGTTTTTTCCTCTCTCTCCATTCCAAGGTCCAGCTTTTACTGCATTCTGCTTAACCGAATAACCATGCTAATTAAGCGAGTAATTTTATTGATTGTAACTCAAGAGTTTTTCTTTTTATAACCTTCCTTTTTTTCCCCTCTCCCATCCCCCCCCATGCGTCTTTTGGTCCATTCTTTTGAACCCGCCGCTCCTCCTCCCAACCCCCGCCCCGCCACAGCCCTAACGGGACCAAACCCCCACCCCGCAATGCCGAGCTCGGACCCTGGGCCAGCTCCCCGAGCCCCAGGGGTCTACGTCCGCCGGCGGCGTCACCTGGGCCGCCACGCCGCAGTGCCCGGCCGTCCGTCCGGGAGCTTCCTAGCGAGGTTCATACAATCACCCCGCCCCCCGGTGAAATTCTCCCAGGATCTTCCTTTGCGAATTGGGGTTTTGGTGGGGGCCTCTTTGAGAGTCAGAAATTGTTCTTTCTCAACGCCCCAAATCGGCCACGGAATTTCTCCCTTCGGCGCCTGCCCCAGGTCGCTCGCTGAGCCGAGGCCGTTCTCCGCTCGGCCCGGGGACTTGGGGTTTGCGACGCCGGGCTCGGCCGCAGGGCCGCGGACAACTGGCCCGGCCCAGGGCAACCTTCGCCAATGCCCAGGTCCCAGCGGACCCCTGGCCTCCGTCGTCCACCTCCACCTCTCGGCTGAGTCACTTATGATGTCCCCCACCTCCCTTCTCTTCCACCCCCACCCAACGCGGAGAGTCCACTCCGAGGCGAAATTGGAGACAATTTCAGACGCTGAGTGTTAAACGACGAAGCAAGCAACATAAACTGAACAGCTGTGCGCCCGCGTGGACCTCTTTCATTTTGCACATTTCTCATTTCCTCAATCTGCATTGTTTTAACGTTTGATATCACTTCGAACAAAAGGGAGATGGGCAGGCTCAATATTCTTAACTGTGAACTTTGCAGAAAGTCTTCGGATGTTTTTTTTTTTTTTTAGTCGTCCCACCGTGACAACAAAGCGATTAAGATGTTTTCCATTTTGTGAATACTATTTAAAATTACTATATTTAATGCTACAGGTTCTACACGTCTTATTTGCAGACTGTTTTGTGTTTGATTTAATCTATAACCGAAAACATAATGTATTAAGCGAATACATATTTGCTCAGCTGATAAGCTTTTTAATATTTATTCGGAGAGCTTTTGCATTGTAAATAAACGGGACCTACACAAAGAGTTCTCTTTGTCTCTCAACTTCCTACAAAAGGGTTTTGGGCTTCCTCCCCTCTAGGGATCTTCAGCTCTCTACCCCGGTCTAACAAATCACTCAGCTCGCCGCCGCTCCGGCCTACTGAGCGAACGCCGGGCCTCAGGACCGGGAGAGCGCCGGGCGAGGGGGCTGCCCGCGCTGGGGTCAGGGGAGGGAGGGGCTGCCCGCGTGGGGCTTAGGGCCTCCGGGCAGCAGCGAGCAGCGAGCCAGGGGGCACGGGGCGGGACAAAGGGAAAGAAGGAGGGGAGGGAGGTCGAGAACCTGCGGCTTCAAAGGCGCCGAAGGCCCGCGGCTGCGCGCACGGGGGGTGGGGGGCTTCCCAGCGGCCTCCGGGAAACCGCGTATACTATGCTTTTGTTTTGTGAGGTTTCTTTTTTCCAATAAGAAACTCCAAAATTGTCGAGAAAAGGAGTTGCTCTAGATTCTCGGGACGCGGGCTTGGCTACCAGCAACAGCTTTAATCTTCACCTTCTGTGGGCCAGACCGATCCTTCCCCACCAGCCCTCCAGACTTTGACTCGGAAAGGGATGGGTTGTTGTCGCCCCTCCGACCGCGGAGATTCTTACCAGGTCGGAGGGGCTTTCCTTTGTGTTCTTTGCTCCGGGGAAGAGGCCGCGCCGCGCCGCGCCTCCCAGTCCGCCAGAGAGCGGCTCCCGGGGGCCTGCGGAGCACTAGCCCGGCAGGGAGCGGGGCGGCGACGCGCGGCCGCCGCCGCCTGGGCCCGAAGTCTCGGATCCCAGGCGCCGCCATCTGCGAATCCCAGGACTCCGAGCCCCCTCCCCCCAGCGCCAAGAGAGACCGCAGCCCGCGTCGGGCCGGACTTGGAAAGGACACCGAGCGAAAGCGGTGGCGTGCCAGGGGCCCCCGTGCCGGCTGGAAAATCGCTGACAAGGGTATTTTGGATAGAGTCGAACCTCGGAACGCCGGGCCCTCCCCAGGACTCCGCGGCGCGATCCCAGGAGTCGCCAGTCTCTCTGCGCTCCAGGATTGTGGGAGCGGCTCCTTCGGTTTTAATTTAAACACGGAAAATCCTCCCTTTGCTTCTGCCACCCGCATCCTCCGGCGCCGTCTCCTGGTGCGCTGGCGCTGTGGGGCCTGCAGGCTGGGCTGGGCCCCGCGCACACCCGGCGCGGCTTGCTCGGGCGCCGCCGTAGAACCCGCTCCCTGCGAAACCGTCGCGCCCGACACCCACCCTACTCCCGCCAGGAGAGGACCGAGGCCCGTAGCCGCTCCGGGCCCCCGCACCCCAAAGCGCACCCGCCAGCAGATGCCGCCTCGGGGGTGGTGGTCTGAGCCCTGCGTGCCGCCCGAAATGCGCTCGGTGAGAAAAACCACTCTTCGCTGGCCTCGCTTGGCCCCCTCCGCCACCTTCAGCCGCCCCAGAAAATTTTTTTCTGAAGTGTCCAGAAATGAATTAGGCTCTGGAAAGCGAACCCCCACAAACCTCGCCGTTACCCCTCTCCGCCCGGTCCCTCGCCCCGCACGCGGCTGGCGGCCGGCAAGCCCCTCAGGTAGGCGGCTCAGCCGCCTCGGCCAGCGCGAGCCAGCCGGTTCCCGGCGCCGCGGAGCGACCGGGCGAAGCTGACCCAAGGCTGCTCGGGGGAGGGGAGCAGCGTGGGGGGCGGGGGTGCAAACAATTGGGGTTCATTTGTGGTGCCGCCAGAGCCGGGAGCGCGTTGGCTGCGTCGGGAACCTCGCCGACTGTATTGCCGGAGCTGCCCGCGCGGCTTTCGCCGGACGCAGCCTAGCGGTCCCTTTCCTGTCGCGATTATTTATTTTTAATGCTGGGTGTCGATCGAGACAACAAGCGCTCAGAGCAAAGCAAGGACGCATTACGGGGGGAATTTTAAACCGATCGATAAGATTTTTCAGAGGGGGAAAAAAAATCGCTATTATATATAGTCCATAAAAAAAAAAAGCCTGTTCGACCCATTATAACGGATTTTTTAAAAGGGAAGATATATACTTAACATCGCAACCCTGAATTTCTCTTACTAAAAAAAAAAATTGTAAATCCCCAAAGCCAAAATCAAAATAAAATAATAAAAATACAAAAACAAAAAAAATGAAAGCAATTTCAGTTACTTACTGGAGGTTGTTTCCTGGATACAATTGAATGCAATACAATTAAACCAGTAAATGTGACTTTGTTTTGTATTCCTATTGGTATTTTCAATGTGCTGACTGTTGCACTGTAAATGCACCGCTTCCACAACAACGACTCTAGCGAGCCCATCCAGAGCGGCTCTCAAACCTGCAGCCCGGCGCGGCAAGCCACGGGCCCTGCATACTAATAAGCTCGTGCCACTCAGCCCGGAGCAGCCCGTGCGTTGATTGGCCGCGCGGCCCTCCGCGGCCGGGAGCTCGTGCCACTCATTCGGCGTAAACAGGCCTCCCAATAGGCTGGCGCCGGGCCAGGGAGCTGCCAATCAGGGAACAGCAGGGCTACTACCAAGCCCGATGGCGCCTAATTCAAGCCCGGCGACTGCGCAGCTCCTTTGCGCAGATCGTTGCTGCTGAATGGGAATGTGTTGGCGCAGGGCGGGAGAGGGAGCAGGGGCGAGTGGGAGCGCTTATCCACGCCGAGAGGAAGGCTTTTGCGTTTTTTTTTTTTTAAATTTAACCCAGCAGGTCTAACGTTTGGCGTCCGGTGCACAGAGGCCAGATGATACAGCAACACGCGTTGAAGCAGATGCTTTTTAAAATACCTGGGATGTCTGGCAGGTGGCTGAACCCCGCACAGGTAGGCCCGAGATCCAAGCATAAAGGCCTCCTCGGGTTGCCTGGCCCCACCACCACTTCGAGGCCTCCACCTGCTCTGACCAAGCTCAGAAATGCCCGGACGCTCAAAGTCGGTACCACGGACTCTTGAGTCGCCGGCCTTGTCCTCTCCTCTTTCCCCAGGGATCAGAATCGGGGGGAAGTTCTTGTGTCTCTGGCCACGTATCTGCGGACCCTCAGTTTTTATTCCCCTTGGCTATATTTTGCAACGGAGCACTAATGAAAATGAAAATCGGGGATTTATGGCCATGACAAAGATTGCCCTTTTTTCATCTGCAACTAGATTTTTTAAATATGTTCACCTTGATACCCACAGTGTGAAAACCATGCACAGTATTTTTTTTTCAATGTCGCTCTCCTGCATATCTGCTAAATTCTTGCCCTAATTTAAAAAGCCACTAAACAAATATCTTCATCTTAATCAGATGCAAACTACTTTTTAGGTTATTCTCCAAATATTTCTGTTAGAGTTTGGTTTCCCAACGATGCTATTTATGCTCGAGAGTCAAGTCTATGTCTTAGTGGCGACGGATACATTACTTTTACTCCTCTAGGTGCAGTTCTGCTTCCCCCTCCCGGGGGACAAAAATGGTATTTAAACTAGATGCCAACCAACTAGGTCACGCGCGGTAGAAATTATCCACCGGCTCATTCCGGTAGGGACTGCCGCCGCCGCTAAGTCGCTCCAGTCGTGTCCGACTCTGTGCGACCCCATAGACGGCAGCCCACCAGGCTCCTCTGTTCCTGGGATTCTCCAGGCAGGAATACTGGAGTGGGTTGCCATTTCCTTCTCTAATGCATGCATGCATGCTAAGTCGCTTCAGTCGTGTCTGACTCTGTGAGACCCTATAACACAGCCCACCAGGCTCCTCCGTCCACAGGATTCTCTAGGCAAGAATACTGGAATGGGTTGCCATTTCCTTCTCCACCGATAGGGACAGGAACGGGTTAAGCCAGAGGCCTTCTGTTGTCACCTTCCTTTCCCCGCCCCCCCCCGCCCGCTCCCTCGGGACCGCCAGGATTGGCTGGCACTCTGCCAGCAGGCTGTCAATCACCGAGTGTAAACAAGGCACTGATTGGCTGTTGTCCAGTCCGCACAGGGCCTCCTGAAAAAAGCAATTACTGGCTCCGCGGTTTCAAGGCGGCCCCAGGCCGCTTGATGAAAGGAGATAAGCTAGGGACCGTTTCCAGGACCCCCGCGGGCCGACCCTGGCAGCCTTGGAGCCGAGGTGCGGCGAAGAGCCCGCGGATCAAAGGAATCCAGAGAGAAAGGGGAAACCGGGCGCACGGCTCCGGCCGGCCTTCCCCCGCGGGCATCTCTGACCTGGGTAGGGGCTTGAGCCGCGGGCGGGGCTCCGGAACTGGGAGCCCGCTTTGGGCGGCGCGGCCGGGCAGCTCCGGAGAGTCCGGGGCTGGCAGGTAAGCGCCTGGCTCCGCGGGCCCGGGCCTAGGACGCAGGACTCGGTCGGCTCGGTCCTGAGTCCCGGCTCCAGCGACACCCCTGCCAGGTGACGAAGACCCCTGTCCCCCACGGCCTGAGCCCCTGGCCAGTCCCGAAGCCCGTGCCTTCGGAAGCCACCGGGGTGGCGCGCGTCGGCAGCGGGAGAGGAGGCGGCACGTATAAATCCATAAAGCGCTCGGAGATCCGATTAGCGCACTGCTATTCATTAGGCCGGGGGCGATTGAATTAGGTTCCGGGTGCGGGCCCGAGGGGTGGGGGGGTGCCGGCGCGGGTTGGGCGCAGCGGCCAATGCGGGGCGGGGGGGTGGGGGCGACGGTTCTGGCTTGGTGGTGGACCTCCGGGCTTGGGCCGTGGCTTCCGGAGGAAGAAGTCAAAGCATCGGCTCCGGAGCGAGTTGAGGGGACGAGTTCCTCCAGGTCCTGCCCCAGCCGGTGCGTGCGGGGGCGGCCGGCTTCCCATGCACACCGTGCAAAGCTAGCCTGAGCCCGGTCCGGCTGCGGAGAAATCGCGTCCTCGGAAGGGTGGCTGGGTGGGCGGGCGGGAGGGGCGACCATGGCTCTCGGATCCAGCGCAAGGCCAGGAGCAGCCAGAGCTAGGGCTGGGAGCGGCTAGCTGTGCAGTCCCGGTTCCGGAGCACACCAGCCTCGCACCGCCTCCTCGGAACCGGTGACCTGGCACGCCGAGACTGCCTGTTCCGCGCGCCCAGGGGTCCCGCCAGCTTCCCGCAGCCCTTGGAGTCCTGACCCCCAGCAGTGTGCTCCTCGTCTCCGGACGTTTGGAATCTGAGTTCCGGATTACTGTCTCTGATGAGCTTGTTTTCTGGCGCAGAAACTTTTTCGTATAACTAAAGTTTTTTTAAGTTCCACTTGAAATTTTTAAAAATGAGAAAAGAGTGTATGAGAGAAAAATCCTCCACCCAAGAGAAAGAATACCTTGCTTACCCTCAGTGTCTCTGTAGTTGGGCCTAGCTCCCTGAGCGCCCGCCAGCGCGGGCCCCCGCGGTGCACTTGAGTCGAAAAGGGGCTCAGCCTTGGACCACCACGAGGGGGAAGGGCCTCCAAGCCCCCACTCTCCGTCCGAGTGTGTGAGGAGGGGTTCCCAAACCCCATCCCCCACGGGCAGAATATTGTCTGAGGGTCCTGGAGCCTGGCTGATGGGCCCCACCCTAGGCATAATCCAAGATGTGCAGGCTGCCAGCGAGATGGAAGGACAGAGGATGGCATGGCTCGGGTCCTCCTTGCCCTTGCGAAGGCTGACTGAGATCCTTCCAGCTCGTCATCATCACATTCCTAATTCAGAGGGAGCGAACTGGCTTTCAGAACCCCCACTGCTGTCCCCTGCTCCTCCTGGCCCATAGGGAGAGAGAGGCTGTGCGCCTGGGGGAGGCGAAGCACAGCCCCCTGTCCTCTTGGCTCCTTCCCCTCTCCTCTCCCCAGCATCACTTGAAAACAAATCTAGTGGGTTGTTTTTTTTTTCTTAATACTGTTTCAAAACAGTTGTTACAGCAAATAGCTGCAGAAGGGCCTGCTGGATGCGGCAGGGGCTGGCAGCTGCCCAGCGCGGGCGCCTGGCCGCTCAGCAGCTCCCGCAGTACCAAAATAAGCTCCCCGTGTTCCCCTTGAGAAGACGCGGCCTACCAAGGCTCCTGCGGGCCGGGGCATGTTTGGCTGGGCGCACTATCAGCTCAGAGGAAACCTCCCCGGTTTCCTTTTTTATTCTGCCTGCTGTCCAGAGCTAACAAATGTTTTTAATTTTAGAGGAACATGGTGTAGGGATCTGCAGACCAGCTTTCCACTGGGGAGGGAGAGAGAACCAGGGAGTGGGTGGGGAAGGAGAAAGGAGAGGGGATAGAAATGTGAGATCAGGGTTGAGCTGGGGTGTCCAGGTCTCTGCAGTCGCCCACAGTTTCACAAATGAATGGGCTCCCAGTCAGGTGAGGCCCACACACCCTGCCCAGCCCACATGCCCTGCCCCAGCCTGGAACACTACCCAGGGGTGTCCTTGAACCCCCAGCTTGCTTCCTCCCTAGCAGGTATCCAAGCTTGCCCTATGGCCCCATGCAGCCAGCTGTGCCCTGACACCTGGGCATGCACCCTTGTACATCACCCATCCACACATATGCATGTGTGCACACACATATACAAACACATCACTGGCACATGCTTGAGCATTATATAGCACATCACACACCCATACACTGATACATTCACAGAACACACTGGCACCAGTGCTCTAGAAAGCCTGCCTTCCCTTATCCTGGGGGCCACTGTCACCCCAGAACCTAGCCCAGCTGTGGGGCCCCTCCCAGCACTTGCCCCCACACACTGCTCCCCTGAAAGCAGCTGCAAATCCAGGGCTCCTTGCTCCCCAAAGACCGCCATCCAGCTCTGTCTGAAATCATGAAATAAATAATCGTTTTTTTAACGCAAGGGGGTGGAGGTGTTGGGCGAGTTACATAAAATTGTGAATTGGTCTCTGCTCCAAATAAACGCCTGCTTGGGCCAGAGAGCAGCAGAGCTGCGCGCCGGGTAATTGTGTGTCGGGTGTCTCTCCATTGTTCCCTGTGCCATTAGTCAAAGGGCAAATTAGAAACAATTTCTTGACAAAAATTGACTCTTAATTTTTCCTACCAGAGGCACAGGGGGCCGGGTCCAGAGGCTGGGCTCGGGGACAGACAGGCCTGTCCGGAGGGGTGCTGGGGTCACTGATTTGCACTTGCCCAGCCTGCAGTAGGGGAAACTGGGGGCCCCCAGGTGTGGTTCACAGCACCCACCCCACCCGCCCTCAGCTGGAGGGCAGCGTTAACCCCATCTCAGCCCAGAATCTGATGCAGCGGTCAGAGGTTTGCACTCTTCCTCTTAAGTAAGTGGGGTAGGGAAAAAAAAAAAAATCAAACACATTCCCAGAGATGCCTGGATTGGAGGAGCTCAGCCTCTGCACCCCTCCAGCCCCAGGAAGCAGGGTTAGGCCCCACCCCATCCTCTGAATGAGATCTTCTGCCACAGATGTGCAAAATGGTTCTTTTCACCAGGGCCTTTGGGTGGTGGACTGAACGGGGCAGAGGTATGGGGGGAAGGTTCTAGGGTGCCAGCCCAGCCCAGGATTCAGAAGCCCCGGGGCCCCACCCTGGCTCCCACTCACTAGGCAGCCATCAGAGCAGCCTGCACCCCTACCTGCCCAGGTGCCTTCAGCTTTGGCTGTGAGTGGAGTTGAGAAGTCCCTACCCCATCCCCGAGAGTCCTCCCCAAGGTGCTGCATGGGGAATTTGTGCCTAGATTGGGAGTGGCCTTCTTTTTGGCCATCTTCTGCCTTTAGGGGCTTAAGCTTTGTTGGAGTTGGCCTATTTTGGAAGAGAAAGGAATACAAAGATCTCCCAGACCCCCCACTACCAAGGGGAGGGGGCTGCCCCCACCAAAAACAAAATCTCCAGTCACAGCCCCTTCGTTATCTAGCAGGGCCTGCAGGGGCCCAGAGGGCCAGGTGGCAGGGGAGAGGGCCACTCTGAGGCCCAGGGTCAAGGGGAAGCATCCGACAGAGGATGAAGAGTCAGGAGCTAGGCCAGGAGGGAGAGTCCTCAGGTCATGCCTCCCATGAGGCCTTCCTCCAGCATCTCCTGAGCCCTGTGTGCTACCTTGAATCCCTTCCTAGAGGTCCCAGCTCCTGCCTGAGCAAAGGGCCTGCATGCTGAGGCCTGAGGCCTGCTCAGTTGGAGCCCCTGGAATGTCAGGGAGGCACAGCTGGTCTCTGCAGACCACAGACAGGCTCCAAGACAGACTTGGGGATGTGGCTGGAAGTTTTAAAAGGCAACGAGAGCAGCAGGGGAGCCAGACTTTGAAGTCAGATGAACAGCTTTCCCGGGACCCCTCCCTTTTTTCGGGGGGTGGGGGTGGGATGTAATTCTGTTGCCGGTTTGTCCAACCAAGTCAGGAGGCTGCCCAGCCCCCTCCACTCCGGAAAGGTGCTTGTTAAACACAGTTGTAATTTGTGGCTAAATATAAGCCAGTGTGTTCACACGGAGAGTATAATTCAGGGTGCTGGTTGTGTGAGGTTATCAACCAGGAGGCCCATCTGGGTTAAATTGAAGTGATTTTCATAAACGGGTAAGAGCATCCTATTGGCAGGCTCCTCCCTGACTTTTTATTAGTGACTGCAAGATTGTTGTTAGTGTTAAAGGGAATAATAGGAGTGGGGGACTCCTGGGACCCCAGGGGCAGGGGGAGAGGGGAGCCTCCCCACTCTGCTCTGTCTTGCCCCTCCAGTCTCTCAACCACTTTCTCATCTAGGCTGAAGGAAGGCAGGGGACCCCCCCAGGGAGTCATAAATCGGTAGTGCCAAGCCATCCTCCCCAAAGACAGCCCTGCTCTTGCCCCACAGGAAGTCTGGGAGTGACTGTGGGAGAGTGGGAAGCAGGTTCTCTGGGGAGAACTCTACTCCCCCTGTAAAGCTGAAATTAGGGGGGATGCACTGGGGTGCCTTCTTGCAGGAGGATGACCCAAACTGGGCCCTCTGTTTTCCTGCTTATCGGGAAGGACCCTACTGATGACCGGAGCCCAGGCTTGGCCTGCACAAATAGCTGTGGGAGACTCAGTGGCTGGAACTGCCCCTTTTGGGGACAAAAGTTCTACAGGGCCTAACGAAGGGTGGGTTACAGGTTACTTGGTGCTTCCAAGCACACCCCCCAACCAGAGCCTGACTGCCGCCCTTCCTGGAAGGACACCTGCCTCTCTCCAGACGGGACCTCGAAGCCCAGCCACAGGAAGTGCCGAGTAAGCAGTTGCTGCCCCAGCCGTTCTGCTCCTTCGCAGCAGTGTTTGGGTGTGTTTACACGTGTCGCTGTCAAGGTAGTCTGGACAGGGCCTCCAGGGCTGGACTTCCCGGGTCTGGTCTCACACTAGCGGGAGGGCCCTGGGAGAGGGGCGCAGGCTGGGTGTCAGGGTCTCCTCTGATGAAATCCAGCTGGCCCAGGCAGAGCCAGAGTGGTCCAGCCAGACCAAGAGGGGAACCGAAAGGACAGGGACTCGGACTGGCAACCCTGGATCCACAGGGCCACAGCTGTCAGCCCCACCCCCCACCCCCCACTCCTCCACCACACACGTTCAGCAAATTCCTCTGGGCATCAATTTCAGAGCCCAAGCAGCAGGAACAGCACCTGCCCCACCGTGCCCATGATGGGCAGGAACCTCGAAGCCAGCTTCCCCGCTGGATTTCTTCCAATTCCCAGACCTAGAAAAGCCCCAGACCCTGCCAGACGCCCCCTCCCGATTCTGCCCCAGCAGAGGGCTCCAGAGGGTAAGGGGCTACCCACTCAGACTTGTTTCTGATCACAAAACAAACAGAGGCCTGGGCAGTTCTGGTCTCTGGGGCCACACATCCCACTCTCCTATTCTCTTCCTGCTCCCAAGCTGGGCCTGCCAAGCTCCCCACTCACACACCAGCCCAGCAATCTGGGCCCCCACCCCCACAAACTCCCTCCTGCCCTTGGGCAGGGCCACAGCCCCATCCTGTCCTCTGGACTTTTTCCTGTGTCTGATGGCCAAGGGGCGGGGGGCGGGGGGCTCCACAGGCTGCCTTGGGGAAGAACCCAGGGCTGGGCATGAGGCCTGGGAAAGCTACAGACACATCTTTTCCTCCTCTCTCTTATTTCTGGGGAAGGTGGATGTTGAGTCCTTGGCCTGGTTACCTGCCGCATATACAGACCAAAAATAAATTATTCCCATCAAAATTCCCACAGAGCAGCTAAGGCCTGCAGGGAAGCGCTCTCCTCCCAGTCCTCAAAGGCAGGTAGCTGGGCTGACAGGCTCGGCTACACCACCACCCATCAGGCCTGGTCTAAGCACAACCACCGCCTCTTTTGTTGGCAGGACAGTCACACCATTTAATTAAAAATCATCCAATAGGTCTGTTTTCTTCTGACCTGCACAAATACATATTCCACCTCAATTCATGACTCAACAATACCGGCTACAGGCGGTAATGGGAGGAAGCAGGAAAGTTTCCCAAAAGATGACTACCCAGAAAGCTCCCTGTTCCAGCGATGCTAGCCCGGACGGTCAGAGGAACCCTGCCCCGGGGTCAGCGCCACGCCGGGCCTTGCGCCGCCTGCCCCCGCCAGCCACTTCCGCTGGAGCCTTTTCGAGCACATTCCACCAGGACTGGGTCTCTGGCAGGCTCTGGGCCGAGGTTCGTTTCAATAAGCAAACCTCGAGCCTGGCCGGCCGATTTCTACTCTGGCGGGTGGAAGCGCAGACGCAAAGAGAGGTTTTTCTTTCCACCGGAATTTGATTTTGTTTGGTTTGCATTTGTATTTTTTTACTAGCAGGAATTTTCGATGCAAAAACCCTCCTGAGGCGGCGGCGGGGGGGGGCGGGGGTTGGTGGGAATCAAAGCCCCTACATCCCTGCCAGAAACAAAAGCCCTTTGGAAACGGCGCCGCAGGGCGGGCGGAGCCGGGCGCCCGGGTCCCGCGTCGGGAGAAGCGGCGCGCAGCACCTACCGCTCGGCGGCTCCAAGGAGACTCCGGCTCCGGTCCGGGCGGCCGTTTTCCGACCTGCTCGCCCGAGTCCGCCGGGTCCCTAGAACGCGGAGGCGGCCGGAGGCCCCATAATCGCAATTTATGGCCTGGGTGACGTGCTTCCCTCTCCCACAATGGGGCCGGGTGACATTAAACAGAAAATTGATGAGAGCGGAGCGAAATCTAATCTCTCCCCCGCCCCCCACCCAACCCCAGGCCGACTCTCCGCGCCTTCGGGGAGGGGCTGGGGGACAGGAGGCTGAGTGGTCGTTAGTTGGTGCGCTCGTGAGCCCCGCGCCAATGCTTCCTCCCGAATTCGGGCTCCCAGCCGGCGCACTGGAGGAGGTAGCACGACCCTCGCCCGGATCCCCATCCCTTGCGGCCCGCTGCTTCTCCTCTGGGCTTCGGGCCGGAGCTGCTCTCCTTTCCATTCGCACCGGGCGGAGCGGGGAGCCAAGCATCTCTCCCTTTTGCTCGGAGGGCCCCCGGCCCGGATAGGGGTCTCCACGCGCCCCCGGCCCTCCGTCCGCTACCCAACCTTCAGCCCGTTCCACGAGCACCCCCCCTCCGCTTCCAGAGCTGAGTTCCCCGCCCCCACCAAGACGAGCCGGCGCCAGGAGAGGAGGGGAGGACCCGGACCACCCAGCCCCCACCCCAAGCAAGTGGGGAAAAGAGGGCAAGTGACCACGCTGGGCGCGCCTGGGGCCTCTGGCCCGGAGCACCCGCGCTCCTCCGCCCGCGGCACGGCTCCCCTGGGGCGCGCCGGGCGCCTCCTGGCACCGACTCCGCCGTGCCGCGTCCTTAAAGGCGCCGGCGGCCCTGCCGGCCTTTGTCCCTTTGGCTGGGAAGGTCACGCCAGGGACTCTGGGCAGCCTCATGGGCCCCTCGAAGCGCTCGCCTCCCCACCCTTCCTCCACTCCGTCCTCCAAAATTTACACTAGGGCGCTCCCTGCCCTGCCTTCTGGCGGGGAGGAGGTCTCCACTTAGCAACCACCTGGCCACGTGCTGCCTGTGACCTCCAGACTTGCACAAGATACATTGGTCTGCTGGAGCACACAGCTGGGCCAAGGATCCACTTTTTAACAGGAGGAGGTTGAGGGGAGTGCTTCTCAGAGAGAGAATGAATGAAGGAGCCCCAGTGGGGCCGCAGGGGTAAAGAAGTGCTAGTGCTGGCAAGAAAACACAACCCCACCGACCAAGGAGGCAGGCTGGCTGCCCTGAGCACTGCCTAGTAAGGGGCAGCCCCCCGGGGATGCACAGAGTCCAGGTTGGGGGTCCACATTGGGATCCAGAGGGTAAGGCTTTGGATAGATGCACCCACAGAAGGTTGCCAGCAGGGCCCCATTCTCCCTGGAAAGCCCCCTCTCCAGGCTCTGCCAGACAAGCCTGTTTGAGTCACTGGGCTGAAGACTCTGTGAAGCGGCTTCCCAAGCCTTGGTCTACCCCTCTGGCCTAGATGAAAACTTGTGCACCTGGGTGCCAGATGGTGTCCTTAACACTCAATCTCTGGACAGACTGGGAAGCAGATGTCATGATGACCATGCCCATTTTCGAGATGGGCAAAGCCCCGAGACAGTGAATAACTCTCCTATGTTCTCCCCCGAAGGCCCGAGGTTCTTCTGCAAAGCCAAGACATGGATCGGCTGGTCTTTGGTCCCCAACAGCCCCAGGACTCATGGGGGCAGACTTATGTCCTAACTTCCACATGCCTCCTACCCTTGGAGATGTGCTGTGCAGAGTCGCTCAGTCATGTCTGACCCTTTGAGACCCCATGGACTTTAGCCCGCCAGGCTCCTCTGTCCATGGGGATTCTCCAGGCAAGAATACTGGAGTAGGTTGTCATTTTCTTCTCCAGGGGATCTTCCCAACCCAGGGATCAAACCCAGGTCTACCACATTGCAAGCGGATGAGCCACAAGGGACGCCCACCCTTGTAGATGGAGAACAGAAAAAGGTGGGCCTCGTGACCACAGTTGGGTGCTTTGGATCACAACACCCACAGAAGGATGACACCAAGGCCCCGTTCTCCCTGGAAAGCCCCCTCTCCAGGCTCTGCCAGCCCGGCCTGTGGAGTCACTGGGCTGAAGGCACGGCAAAGCAGGTCCCCATTGCTGCAGCTGGGAAGAACTGCTAATATATAACAAGAATCTGGAAGCCAGATTCCAGAAGGTCACATTGGACTGAAACCAACAAGATTACATTTAACAGGCTGGATGTGAACCTCCACTTTTAGGTTCAAAAATCAGTTGTAAAAATGCAGGCACTTCCCACTGAAGACGTGATGAGCGACCTGCAGCTGTCTGTACCATTCAGGCAGAATGGGCTCCCCAACGCAGGCCCCTTGTGAATTTCCCGGAGCCCCAGCAGCTGAGCCTGCACTCTCCAGGGCCCTCCCGGGATGTCAGGCTCACTGGGGAGGGGATGCAGCTGGGGACAGCAGAGAATGGGGTCCTTGTGCTGCTATCATCAAACCCGGGGCTGGATGAACACAGCTTTGTCTGCACCCACACTCCCGTGGTGACCACGGGACTAGAGATCAGCGCCTGGGGCTGGGGGCGCTTCAGAACTGGAGCGGCTGCTTTTTGGCCTCTGTTAACCCTTGAGTGGGTGTTGGATGCACAGTCTTTCCCCAGCTCTGTGCCTGGGGTTCAGGGGGGCAAGCAGAGCAAGGATTAAAAATCTGTGTCAAGTCCCAAGGTTCAAAACAGCATGTTGTTAAACTCAAAGTTTTCCATATTTAAATAGCAGCAGCCTTTGGGGGAGACTATTTCCTGGTGGCTCAGAAGGTAGAGAATCTGCCTGCAATGCAGGAGACCTGGGTTTGATCCCTGGGTTGGGAAGATCCCCTGCAGAAAGTAACAGCTACCCACTCCTGTATTCTGGCCATGAACAGAGGAGCCTGGCAGGCTACAGTCCATGGGGTCCCAAACTTCAGACATGACAGAGAGACTTTGACTTTCTTTTTCTTGGGGGAGATGAGAGGGTGGTCCTGGGTAAGGTAGGGGGAAGGCTGAGCAGCCTTCCCCACAGAATCCCCTCCCACACCAGGTCCAGCTGGGAACAGGGGCCACTCATGGCAGCACCCCAGTCCTGGCCTGGCTCTAGCATGTGCTTTGCTTCTGCTGAGCTCTTGGTCATCCAGAGGCGGGTGCCCCATGCTAGGCATCCACTGGGCAGGCCTGGATCTCAGCCCCGGTGGGAAGAGCGGGGAGGCCCAACTACAGGGGGGACAATTGCTGCAGAGCCTCCTCCCCCCACCCCGAGCTGGAAGATGGTGCAGTGACTCCAGAGCAAGTGAATGTGTGAGTCAGGAGGGGTTTCCAGGGGGCAGGACAGGCAGAGATGGGGCACCCTGAGGGTTATTTGTGGGCCTAATGGCTCGAATTCACTGTAGTGGGTCTGGGCTGGGAAGTGAGTAAGCATTGTTCCCTCTCAGTGAGCAATGGGGGTGACAGTGGGGCCTAGAGCCACTCTGGTGGGGAGATCTGGGGTGGCTACTCCCTTGCTAGCTGTTCTGTAAGCCTGCCTGGCTCATTGATCATGGTTCTCCTGAGACCCCGGCTTTACCTCACAGACCCCATGAGGGGTCATAGGCCCTGGGGTGCCTCAGTTAGCTCTACCCCCTCCTCCAGGCCCTATGGAGGCCACCAGCTGGACTCAGGGAGGGTGCCATCTGCTCTGGCTCTTGTCCCTAAGTCCACGGCACCCAGGGGAAACCCAGCTCCCAGAAATCCTTCCCACTCCCCCAAAGCTGGGGTGTGGCTGGTGGCTGAGCATGTTTATCCTGAACCCCCACAGAATGGTGAGCCCTTGGTGGCCAGGCCCCTGCCCACCAGAGGCCCACACTCTGAATGTGCCATGCTAAGACCAAGGGCTCTGGATACCCTGCAACAGCGGCTCTATGGGGCCTGGTCTCTTAGGCTGAGGCCTGGCTCCCCCACAGGTTCAGAGGCTGCTGGAAAGGCTCACCCAGGGGTCAGAGTCCACTGCTGAGAGACATGCAGGGTTCAGTGCCCCCCAGCCATCTGGTTGGGTTGGTTGCTCACCCCCAGCCCCACCCAGATGGCTGGGGGGCGCTGCACCGCCCACTCCCTCACTCCTGCTCCTGGTCACACAGGCAGAAAGGAGGGGAGCCAGGACTCAGACCCAGGTCGTCCACACCAGTCTCATCTAAGTCTGCCACACACCCAGGTCCTCGAACCTTGAGAAATGCAGGATTTGGGTTCTGGTGGATGAGCCTCAGAGGGGGCTGCTACTGGTCTCTGACTCAGGACAACCAGGGTAGACAGACATCCACATGGCCAAGAAGGACTCTGAGAAGTCTTGGGGGGCTGTCCCCCTTTTTTGCTGAGCCCAGCCCTCAGATGCAGAAAGGGTGGGTCAAGGAACCTCTCACTTTCCATCCACCTTGCCTCCAGGTGCCCACGGCCTTCCTCACCTGGGAAGGTCTCTAGTGGGGAAGCCAAGGCTGAGTGATGGGGTCCCTGGGGAATGGGCTGAGCCAGAGGCAAGGACGCCTGGGAGAGAATAGGAGTGGGGTCCCGCCCTAGGGTAGCGGGCAGACAGCTGCCACACTTGGCAGGCCAGACCCAGCCCAGTTCCTACTTCTTTCTCCTATTGGGTGATTTGCATTACTAATGAACCCGAGGTCCTGCGTTCAAAGGATTGAATGACATATCAGTGGCCAAAAGGCCCATGGCTCCCCGACCTTGTCTGCTTCATCCTGCTTCATCCTTCATCGCTGCCCAAGGAGAGAGGCTGCCCCAGGCCCCAGTCAACCCTGCCCTCCTCTGCGGTCCAAGAGGGCCCACGGAGACAGGACTGCAGGAGGCACCAATCCTCCTGTCTACTCTGGGCAAAGCCCGGGCAGAGGGGAGCACACACTGTCAGGGAGTGACTGCCAGCTGGTCAGGGAGGACAAGGGTCCCAGACTTGCTCCGAGGAGGAGAGGGACTCTTGAGTTGTGGTGAGGCTTGGGTTGGGGGCAGTTCAGATGGGGTTCAGGCAGCAGTTGATTTTCTCCCTGGAGAAGGGCTGTTCTTTCCTCTAATCACCTCCTTGTCCTGTCCTCCCGCTACTCATCTCCTCCCTGACACACCTTCTAGATCTGTGCCATCCGACAGAAATACTGTGTGACCCACACCTAGGGAATGGGAGCATTTCCAGAGGTCACAGGCCTCCATCTTCCCCTCCCCAATGTTAATTTCCAATGAATATATTCATGCATGTGCACATATGAACACACATGCTCACGCATGCATACTTATGCACCCATGCATGCACACATGCAAATGCTGGTTTCAGCCTCCTGCCTTGGCCTGGCCCTGGATCCTCCTCAAGAGCAGATGGAATAAGAGACAAACTCCGTACTCACACCTGTGGGAACTGCCATCTGTGAGTCAGGGCTCACATGCCCATCTCACTGATGGGGAGACTGAGAGGTAGAGGGAGGTATCTGAGGTTAAGCTTTGAACAGTGGAGTCACTGACCCTGCCCCTCCTCCCCCAGGGCGCTCAGAGGCCTGAGCTGAGCGCTGAGACTGGTGCTCCCCCCAGTCCAGTTCTAGGGGCTATGATTGTCCCTACTCCACATCTGGCTCCTGGGGTGGGGGTCAGCTCCCAGAAAATCCCTGGAAGCAGAGTTGCTTGGTAAGAGCACTCACATTTTAGGGACAACTATAGCTATGTGATTCTCTCAGAAGGCTGTCCCAATTCTCTGTCCAGCAAACACTGAGAGCGACCCCCCATCCGGGCCACTTCACAGGAAGTTTTGGAGAAGCAGAGCTCTGGAGCATGGTGGGCCATGAGATGGGGCTCTCTGGGGTGTGGATGTGGCCTGGGAGCTCACACAGCTGAGCTGCCAGGGGGGCTGGGCCCAGGCCTGAGCTGGGGCCACATGGTAGGGAGGGGACTCCCCCGGGCCGCCGCCCCAGGCGGGTTGAT